AGCACGCGCATTCGAACGGAAATGGATGCAGTAAACAAAATGGTCAGATTATGTAGTTCGTGTCGGCAACCAGGTTACAATCGTACAAAATGCCCCAATGTAGGATTAAGCACAAGATCATAGTTTCTAATGTAATTGTGTCCCTTTAAATCAACAACAAATTTCATTCCATTGAAAGCATAACTAAGCGATTACAATTAACAACAACATAAATTAAACAAACATAACTTAATATCAAAACAACAATCCGAAAATAACATCAACATAACCTAATATCAAAATAACAATCCGAAAATGACAACAACAAACCCATATAAAACAACACAATGCATCAACTTGTCTAGGATATCACAACCATCAAGGTAATCTTCTTTGGTGTTAACATCATCACAAGGACGCCAACATCATTTTCGACTTTTCTCCAATCACGAGTAACTCCATTTCTCCCTGACTCCTCAACTAACCTCTCGATTTTCCTAATCTTTTCACCTGCAACAATATCTCCTTCTAGCCAACGGTTCAGTTCCCTATGCAAATGCTCCAATGTCTGCGTGTTCCACAGTAGCACCTTCATCGGAGGCTTTGTTACTGAAAAATAAACTAGGGCATTTCTTTTTATTAGAGGAAATGTTGGAAATGATTCCTCCGATGATGATGATGATGATGATGACAATGAACGTTGATTTAGAAATGCAGACATTCTAAACTGATTTAAAAATTATGAAGAGTTGAGTCTATTGGTGAAAATTATTGTGAAAAGAGATGAGTGTGTAGTCTTATTTATAGAAAATGAAATAGTACGGGCCACATATGATATGGCGTAAATACTCTTACAAATTCATGATGAAACAAAACACAAAACAAATAATTAAAAAAAAGATGAAACAAAACAAAAAACAATGAAACATCAAGAGATGAGTGTGCAGTCTTATTTATAGAAAAAAAATTTACAAATTTTATTATTTCTTTTAATTATATTTTTTTTTACAAAATATTAAATATGAACAAATTTTAATATTTTTTTTACAAAGTATTAAATAATATAAAAAAAAAGCCCTAGAACTGAGGCGCCATATGGTATGGTGACTCAGCTGAAGGGTAGGGTTTGTGTTTTTAAGGGTGGCGACTCAGGTCAAGGTGATCTTGATCAGCCATTTTATATGGCGCCTCAGTGGGGAAACATGGCCACTTTTGTAATTTTTTTGAATTTCATGTTTAATTGGTATGTTTATTTAAAAATAGTGTTATTTTAAAAAAAAAAATTCAAACCCTAATAATAAATTCATTTAGTTAAATGAGATATACTATTATTAACAATTAACAAAAAAACACTATCATACCCATGAAAGCAGTAGACACATCATTACTATATCACGAAACCATTCAAATACATATCAAGATACTTTTTACCTCTTGACGACTTTTCTCATGGAGACATAAGCATGTCAATCTAAGGGGCGGATGACCTTACTTAACTATCTTTTTAATGTTATCCCTATTTTCTTCTTGTCTTTTCTGAAAATATCTATCAAGGTTTGGAAGAAGATTGATAGGATTTAAAGAATGTTCCTCAAGGATGTGGTCAAAGGTGATTTTAAAATCTCTTAGATAAAGTGGTTTGAAGTCTATAAGTCTAGAAAAAAGGTGGTACAGGAGTCTGGGATCTCCACTTGATTAACTTGGCCCTTTTGGGAAAGTGAAGATGTAAATTTATTTTTGGTGTGTTTTGCCTCTTTTGTGATATCATATCCTCCTAATATGGAGTTCATATTGTTTCCTCCTTCATAAGAAGTATATAAATAAATAAATAAATCTTTATATACCTGGTGGAAAGAGGTGTCATTTCACAATTCTAAAGTTTTGGACTCATCAAATTGTTTTGTGTCTGACCTTAGTAAGAAAGTGGGATTTGGATTTCTGACCTCCTTCTGGGAGGATCCTTGGGTAGGCCCTAATCCTCTTAGATTCAGGATTCCTAGGCTATTTAATATCATTGATCAACATGATTGGGTTATTGATGAGAATGAGGCGTGTGAGAATAAAGCTTTGATTTGAGAATTGAAATGGATAAGGCCTCTATTTTTTTTTGTTTATGAGCAAAAGATAGTTGAAAACCTCCTTTTAAATTTTAACTATTCAGGCTGTGACTTTATCCATGAACACTGAATGTGGCGGTAAAGTCATTTTTTAGGTTGTGAAGATTCATCCTAGGGATCTTCCGTCCTTTTTTTAGATTATATTTAGTTAGGAGATGTATTTTGAATTATGGGCAATTTCTATGATTTGATATTAGGCACATCTTATATATATTTTATGTTACTTGTTGGACCTGACCAGAGATCCACCTTTGTGAGAAACACACCACATACTCACCCAAAATTCTCTAGTTTATCCACAATGCTCCCTCTTAAGCGGAAGCTTCAACCGTGCAATTGCACTTTCTACTGTGTGTTTCTTACTCACCACCCTTGTACCGCCGTTGACACTCTTCAACATGACACCTCCTAACCACCACCCATGGGAGTACAAGTGAACCGGTCCTTCACTCAAACCAGAGTTTGATACCACTGTTATAAGAGATTTTTACTAGGGAGCATTGAACATTGCAGGACTTTTTTTTCTATAGAGCAAGACCTTTGTGAGAGACACACCACATACTCACCCAAAACCTTAAGATGATAGGTGTATAGGTTCTCTCACTTATAAATGCTCAAGTCACCACATTCCTATTCAATGTGAGACTATTATCCACACTACTCACACTTGTTAATACTTAACTTTTATTTTATATATATATTATATATATATATATATATATATATATATATATATATATATATATATATATATATATATATATATATATATATATATATATATATATATATATATATATATATATATATATATATATATATATATATATATATATATATATATATATATATATATATATATATATATATATATATATATATATATATATATATATATATATATATATATATATATATATATATATATATATATATATATATATATATATATATATATATATATATATATATATATATATATATATATATATATATAAAACTCAAATACAAATCAACATCTTCCCTATTTCTAGAACAAATAGACAATTTATGTGAGAAAAACATATTAAAGAATTTGGTTGATCTTATATTTAATAGAATTCTTATTTGGTGGACTTATTAAAATCCTTGGTGTATATTTCTTTCTCATAAATGGAGCTAAGGAAAAAAATAATTATTTTGCAAATTTACTTTAATTAAATATCAGTGTATTTAATATTTCTAATATTATAAAATGAAAGATATAAATTTGAGAGTATGACAATAATGAAAGAATCATTTATTTTAAAATATTTTTATTTTTTTTAAGAATATTGATAGCAAATGCCTTAGAGTACTATTTAATTAATCAAAGTATAAATACTCTTACATAAAAATGTTTGATTCAATTACAAAGTTGTTTTTTTATAATTTATTTAAACAATATTTTTAACACTTTACATGATTCTTTCCAAAAGTAAGAAGTATAATGCAAACTGCCACCCTTGTATTGAGACCAATGTCTAAACCTGCAAAGTGTTTGCCCTTTGGCCCCATTAACTGCTCTAGCATGACAATAGTACATTCATAAAGAAAAAACCAACATCAATCCCACAAAGAATAACTCTTCACATCACAACTACTATCTTCAATTTTTACCTTTTACCTCTCTTTGCACATCTTGTCCAAGATAAATAATATGTCATAAAGGATCTTTGTTTCTTTCACACTATAATTAATACAGGAATTTCAGTCAAATGATATTTTTTTACTTCATCCGTACACTTTTATATGTATCTTTGTTTTCTCACTCATGTTAAAAAATGGCTTGTGAAATTAATGTATCAATTTTTTTGTATATCAAAATAAAATAATTCATTCTAATATATATATATATATATATATATATATATTATTAAATAATTTTATCACTTCATTAACTACAAAATATCAGTGTTTTAAAAACTGAATCAGACCGGGAACCGGCCTAGTAACCGGTCTGATTTACTAGTTCGATTGTCTGTGTCATCAAACCGGTAAAAACCGGGAAAAACCAAATTAGACCGGAAAAAACCGGATTTAGAGTTGGACCGGTTCTAATGCATGTTTTATTTTTTAATTAAAATTTAAATGCAAAAGTTATAAAAATTAAAAAAAAATTGTTTAAAATTAGATTATGCTGCAATTATTTTGTAATTTTTTATTATTTTGTTATGTGTGATACATTTGTTTAAAATTTAAATTTAAATTATGAACTTGTGAATTTATAATATGATATTTTCAAAAAATTTAAGTACTAGTTATATTTTTTTAGAAATTGAATCATCCGGTTCGACCGGTTTTATATCTATATAATTACAGATCTATTCAACCGAGTTATCCGGTTTAATCCGATTTAGTCATGCGGTTCGACCAATGATCCAATAGTTTAACCGATAAACCAGTGACCCAGTACCCTCACCAGTTCGATGACCAGTCCAATTTTTAAAACACTGCAAAATATAAATTATTAATTACTTATTTTACATATAATTCAATAACCACTGTCATTACTTTATTAACTAACAAAATACATAACATTAACCATCTATTTTACATAATGTCCAATTATATTACATGGTACAAAAAAAAAGATGAGACAATATCTATAATTTGAATTAAATAAAATAAAAGTCAGAAGAAAAAAACCACCTTCACACAAAACCAAAGTATCTTCTTTTAACAATAATTGTATGAAAATAGTTATAATGAATGCTAGCAGAATAGTCAGCACATATCACCTTATCTCCACATTTTCTATTTTGTTTTCATATAGACACCTTTTACAATAATTTATTTTCGTTTGGACCCTTGTTGTAACTTTTATATATAGAATGCACCTATCTCACTAATTACAATTGAGTTAAGAAACTAGCATCAATATCAATGGCAATCATACATCAAGGAAACCATTCCATCTTGAAACTTTGTTGTTCATCAAACCGAGCAATAACCTTAATACAAAAGGTTATAGCAGAAGTTATTGGAACATACTTTCTTGTATTTGCAGGTTGTGGTGTTGTAGCAGTCGACAAAATCTATGGCTCCATAACATTTCCAGGGATATGCATCACTTGGGGTCTGATTGTAACCGTCATGTGTTACTCAGTTGGTCATATCTCCGGCGGACTCTTCAACCCCGCGGTGACGATAACCTGGGCCATTTTTCGCCGAATCAAATTCATCGAAGCCCCACTTTACATTGCCGCTGAGTTACTCGGTTCAACGCTTGCGAGTTTAACATTATCTTTAATGTTTGATATTACACCGAAATCGTTTTTCGGAACCGTGCCAGTTGCATCTAGCGGTCAATCTTTAGCTATGGAATTCATTATCAGTTTTCTGTTAATGTTTGTTATTTCAGCTGTTACAACGGACCATAGAGCGGTGGATGATTCAGCGAGTATCGCGGTTGGAATGACGATAACGTTGAATCTTTTTATAGCTGGACCTGTTTCAGGTGCATCTATGAATCCAGCAAGAAGCATTGGACCTGCAATTGTGGTGCATATTTACAACGGTTTATGGATATATGTAGTTGGTCCAATTGTTGGAGCTGTGGCTGGAGCACTTGCGTATAACTTTCTTAGATCGGTGTACAAGCCAAGAGCAGAAATAGCAGCAGAAACGACTCCGTCGGAGATAACAAAGGAGAATCCAAATTCAGAATTGATAGCAGAAGAGCCATTGAGGAGTATAAGTATAAGTTGATTTAAGGGTGCATGAATGTTTTGTTTATTTTGAAGTTGAGTGAGTGAGCTTTGTTTTGCTTTTGTTTTATGGAAATGGAAGTGATTAGGGTTTGATAAGATTGTTTTAATTAATAAGAAATGTTATAAGTTTTTGTGTATTGCATTTTATTATGTTAAAATATATACATCGGTTTAGGTTTTGTTATTATGATATTAGATTTGTTTAAGAAAATGTGTATTTGTCACACTTTTTCTCATTATTTTTTTGTTAATGGCAAAAGATATATAGATAAAAGAAAAAGAGTTGAGTGAGTACAAGAACTAACTCCTCGCCAAATACAAACAAAGATATATACAACTAGCTAGAATGTAGAATTATAATTGAAGAAAACTAAATGTTTTAGAAAATTCCTTTCTACTCCTCCTTGCTTTGCTGCCACCTCCCATTTTTAATGGTAAATGTTATCCTAATTTTTTAAAATTGAATTGAATTGCTCTCTTAATTCAATTCATTTTCTTTTAAAATCTTTTATCCACTTGTTTTGTTGGTTTTAAAATCTTTTAAAATCTGAATTGAATTGAAAACGAGAGACTTGGATTTGCTCAATCAATCCACTTGATTAAGACTTTCAATGCTTTAATACATAGCAGAAGACTTACATAACTTAAGCATCTTAGCGAGAGACTTGGATCTAAACTGTTAAACAACATGTTCAGCAGAATAGAGAATAATGTGTACTTTATACAAATATCAGAGGTGCGAGGAAATCACTATAACAATGACCTAAAGCTCTTAAGATTTCTAAGATATTCAATGTGTAAGAAATCTTAAGGCTTTTACAATTACAACCTACAACAGAAATTATGCATAACCATTTATGTTGATAATTATTGATTTTGTTACTCCTTCATCAGGTTGATCCTTGTTAAAGATTCAGTTTGAACCTTTAGCTACTTATATATCATTTGTAGAAGACTAGTCGTTGGAGAGATAACTTGATCAAGTATCTTTGTTTTTTCCATAGTACAAGAGACGTTGAAGATAGATACACCAAAAGATCTTGATCCATTGTGTATCATGTTTAACCACTGAGTCTTCAAAGAGATTGTGAGATGTTGGATCGAACTCTAGTATTGTCGACAGAGGTTTAGCATGTCGTCGAAGTCTGCTCACATGTTGTTGTCGAAGACCCACATGCTGTAGTCGAAACATGTTCTAATATGTAGTTGTCGAATTGGGCCTTTTGTTAAGGATCCAATTGTTTAATTTAGCTTGTACCCTAAGTTAGCTTGTAATGGGTAATTGTTAAAAAGCCCATTAGTTTAGTATGTTATATTTTATTATAAATATCATACTAGTCTCTCATCATAAGTGTGAAAAATTCTAATTAGGGCAAGAGGGTTATTTGTTATTCTTGTGTACTTGTAATTTGATTTAAAGAGAAAGTACAAAATAGCAGTTATAACCAATCATTGTTGTTCTTCTTCTTGTTTTTCTGTTAACCCTAACCCTTGTGTGTTTCTTGATCATAAAGAAATTGTTTATACTTTGTTTCTAAGATATCTTTTTTCACAACAAATTGGTGCGGTGAACATGGAGAAGATGCCTTCAGCAAAGTATGAGATTGAAAAGTTCACCGGAGTGTACGATTTCGGTCAGTGGCGCTTGAAGATGAAAGCCCTACTGGTTCAGCAGGGTTGTTTGGAAACATTGAAGGGAGAGGCAGCCATGAACACTACGTTAACGGAAACTAAAAAGACGGCCATGAAAGAGAAAGCCCACAACATACTATTGTTGAGTCTTGGTGATAAGGTTCTCCGACAGGTATTAAAGGAGACTACGACATCGGGGTTATGGTTGAAACTTGAAAGTTTATACATGAACAAATCTCTAGTGAATCGACTCTATGGAAGCAAGTTTTGTATTCATTCAAGATGAGTGAAGATAAAGTGTTGGTTGAGCAGTTGGATATGTTCAACAAGCTAATTCTTGATCTTGAAAATATTGATGTAAAGATTGATGTTGAAGATCAAACACTATTGATGTTCTGCACTTTGCCCATAACGCGTGCTCAATTCAAAGAAACTCTCTTGTATGAAAAAGGAGTCCCTGATCTTTGAAGAAGTTCAATCATCCTTATATTCTAAGGACTTGAACGAACGAAAGAAGCATAAACCTTTGAAGGTTGGTGAAAGTTAGGCCATTAAGGGAAAATTCTTGCGAAAGGATGGTAAGTTTGATAAGAAGAAAGGTAAAAGTCAGCAGAAGCCTTATAGTGGCGAGGCATCTGGTATTCGATGGTATCACTATAAGAAGGAGGGTCACACAAGAATGGTGTGACCTGAACGCCTGAAAGATCATGGAGGTAAGGATAATGGCAACACAACCATTATTTAAGATGACTTCGACTCATTTGATGTTCTTGTGGTTTCAAGCAGCGACTCAAGAAAAGAGTTGATTATGGATACAGGTTGCACTTAGCACATGACTCCAAACAGATAATTGTTCGAGGAGCTATGTGATAAAGATTGTGGATTATTGCTGCTAGGAAACAACAAAGCTTGCAAAATTGTTGGTATTAGATCTGTGAGATTCAAGCTCCATTATGAGTCAATAAGGTTATTGATTGAAGTCAGGTATGTACCTGATTTGAAGAGAAACTTAATTTCTCTTAGTGAAATCTACAAGAAAGAATATGTTTTTCAAGGAGAGAAAAGTATCCTAAGAGTCATGAAGGGGTCGAAGGAAGTTTTGAGAGGCGTGAAGAAATAAGGCTTGTATACCCTTGAGGCTGAGGTTGTAAGTGGTTCGACAAATGTTACATCCACAAAACCTTTGTCGAAGAAAAAAATTTGGCACATGAGATTGGGCCATGTCAGTGAAATGGGTCTGGTCGAATTGGGGAAACAAAATTTGTTTGGTGGAGACAAAGTCGAAAACCTGAAATTTTGTGAACCCTGTGTACTTGGAAAAACATGCAGAGTGAAGTTTAATAAAAGCAAACAAAGAACTCATGGATTCTTTAATTACATCCATGCTAATATTTGGGGGCCTGCAAGGTGTCAATCACATTCATGAACAAGGTATTTTCTATCCATGGTCGATGATTATTCCAAAAAGTTATGGGTATTCATCCAAAAGACTAGGGATGAAACTTTTGAGAATTTCAAAGGTTGGAAGACTCTGGTTGAAAATCAGACTGGCAGAAAGGTCAAGAGGTTGAGAACCGACAATGACCTTGAATTTTGCAATAAGGCATTCGACAACTTTTGTGTTGCCTCAGGTATTGCAATACACAAAACTACTGCAGGTACTCCATAACAAAATGGTTTTGCGGAAAGGTTTAATCAAACTATTTTGGAAAGAGTTAGATGCGTGTTTACTAGTGTTGGGTTAAATAAGGTGTTTTGGGCTGAGGTTGTTTTACAGAAACATATCTAATAAACAGATATCATTCGAATGCGTTAGATATGAAGACACCTGAAAAAGTCTGGTCGGGACATCCACCTAGCCTCGACAGACTTAGAGTATTTGGTTACGTGGTATATGCTCACATTAGGCAAGGCAAGGTCGAACCTAGAGCTTTGTAATGCATGTTCATGGGATACCATGAAGGATTCAAAGCTTATAGGCTATGGTTCCTAGAGCTAGGTCATAGGAGGTGTATCACCAGTCGAGATGTAGTTTTCAATGAAGTTCAGATGGCCTTCAAGAAAACTGATGGTGCTGACAAAGAGCTAGAACAGAGAGATATTCTTGTTGTGGTGGAACATGTTAATGCTGAATTGCGTATCCCAGATGAAGTCGAAGAAGAAGAAGAAGAAGTTGATGTCGAAACTGAGGAGATTGATAATGATTACCTACTAGCAAGAGACAGATCAAAGAGAGTTATCAAGCCACCTAAAAGAATTGGTTATGCAGATCTTATAGCTTATGCCTTAATCTCTTCAAGTGAGGTTCTAGACGAAGAACCTAGAGACTAAAAGGAAGCTATAAAGAGTTAAAATAAAACTGAATGGCTGAAGGCCATGGATGATGAGATGAAATCTCTTCATGATGACAACACCTGGGAACTGATCAAGAAACCTGCTGGAGCCAGGTTAGTCAGGTGTAAGTGAATTTTCAAAGTTAAGGAAGGAATCAAAAGAGTGGCGTCAAAGAGATACAAGGAAAGATTGGTCGCTAGGGGTTTCACTCAGAAAGAAGGTGTTGACTTCAATGATGTATTCTCTCCTGTTGTGAAGCACAGGTCCATTCGAATATTGCTTGTCACGGTGGCACAATTTGACCTTGAACTAGAACAAATGGATGTGAAGACTGCGTTCTTGTATGGTGATCTAGATGAAACAATCATGATGAGGCAACTTGAAGAGTATGTCGAAAGGAGGAAGGAAGATTATGTGTGCAAGCTGGAGAGATATTTATATAGACTGAAACAATCACCTCGACAGTGGAATAGGAGATTCGACAAGTTCATGGCAGCATAAGTTTCATTAGAAGTCAGTTCAACCACTACGTTTACTTCAAATTTCAACCTGGTAATTCATTTTTTATTTTGTTGCTTTATGTGGATGATATTATAATAGCAAGAAACAATTTTGAAGATGTAATGAGGGTGAAGGTTAAACTCAATAAGGAGTTCGACATGAAGAATCTGGGAGTTGCGTCCAGGATTCTTGGGATTGACATTCGAAGAGATAGAAAGCAGTCGAAATTATGCTTATCTCAAGAGGCATACCTACGGAAGATTCTCGAAAAGTTTGGTATGTTGAATTCAAATCCTGTTATGACTCCGGCAAACCCTCAATTCAAGCTGAGTATAGATTAGTGTCCCAGTACTGATGTTGAAAGAGCTTATATGAATAGGATTCCATATGCTAATATAGTGGGTTCTTTGATGTATGTTATGGTCTATACTAGACTCGACATAACATATGCAGTAAGTCTTGTAAGCAGGTACATGGAGAAACCTAGAAAGGCTTGCTGACAAGCATTGAAGTGGATTCTAAGGTACCTAA